AGAAAAGGATGGCTTTAGAGCTAATAAAATAACATCTTAATAATAAAAATCTTCTTTTTTTCCCCCTCCTCACTCTTCTTCCCCCTTTTATTTATGTATTTGTACGTTGGCTCTTCATTTTCAAAGACTTCATACTCATTGCTTTAGGATACAAAGAACTGTGATGACAAATATGGTTGTTATGTTTCATCTTATTCCCAAGGGTCTTTTCTTCTGTAGATGATGAGCATCTGCTCCTAGTCATGTAGAAATCTGATTAACAAAGCATGATCTTTGATTAGCATATTTCAGAAATTGTTTCTTATTATGAGTTCTCTCCTTAGGGCTTGTTCTGCTTAGCAGTAGAACAACCTTCCAAACTTCTTTCACGTGTTGAGGAGCTCTGCAGACAAATAAATCCCTTTTTTGACCTTTTATGTTCGTCAGGATCACACATTCTGCCTAAGTGATAAAATTCTAAAAAAAAAAAAAATCTAGATTGGAGGATTTTTTTTCTTTTTGCTGTCTTCTCACAAAGACCACATTTTTGCTTACATTTAATAAACCTCTTTCTGCTCTATTGAATTGTATGAAAGGGCTGTTTGTAATGGACAATACATTACACTTACGTAATGCGCTCCATCTAAGGATCTCCATGAGCTTTTCCACCAGTAATGAATTAATTCTCTCAATGCACAGATGAGGAAAACTTTATTTTTTATTATTGTCAGTATTATTATTCTTTGTAGATTTTAGAAACAAGACACTGAGGTAGAGGGAAGTTATGAGGCCTGATTAAAAAGGAAATTTCTGACCATATCTTTTCCCATGCCTCTGCTTCAAACTGATGACCATTCAGCAATACTTGTCTTTTCAATATGCAATTGATGATCTTCTTGTTGCAAGATATTTCAGAGCTGTATTTCTTTTATCAATATTAGATTGCGTGATGCTAATCCAGAACGTACATACTTCAGAACTGCATGTGTTCCTATCACCTTAGAAGTCCTAAGGAGTTCACTAAGTGGATATAATGGATATAATTCTTTAGTTAGAGGGAAAAATTAGTATGAAAAGATACTAAGCATTGAAACTGTGCGTGGGTGGTATCACATAATCTATACTGGCCTCAATCATGCTTCCCTTATTCGTGCCAAACTAGTATTGACTTCCAAGGGTAAGATGAACATAACCCGGACTAGCCTATTGCAGTTCTTATGCCATGGCCCTCGCTTGGAGGAGGTTCGATGATGATCTTGGCAAAGTTCTGTTGGCAGAAATTGCTCTCAGTTACCACTGCTGTGCAAATGTCCAGGCACCAATTTGATTTAGCTGGCAAAGTTTGGCCTTTCTAGTATGGGACTAAACCCTCCTCCTTCACTAGCAGAAGCTCTGGCTGACACACAGCTACCAGCAGAACGCCGGGGAGGATGCTCTCCAGCAGCACAGCGCTGCTGGCAGCTATTAGCCCTGGGCTCCTCGCCAGATTGCAACGCGGTTTCCGTTGGTGCAGCGTTTTGCATCAAGGATGTGTCACCAGCAAAAGCAGAAGGACGTGCATGTGCTCCAGTAAAAGAGCAACACCAGCTGGAAGCTAGCAAAAGTTCTGATCATTAAATTTTCTCATGTGGATATGACCCTTGAATTAATCAACACACTGAACCTATTATCTGGTAACCCTACACGCTCCAAGTGAAGCTCACTGATTAAAGGCTTTGCAGAAGGAGGTTCTGTTGCTCTGCTTTGCAGTTTAAGAGTATCTAGTCAGATAGATAGGTAAGGAAACTGTGGCCTCTCTTTTCAATGCTTGTCAAATATCTGCCTCAGTCTTTAACTGGGTGTCCAGTGAGAGCTGAAGTAAGAGGATTAAGGCAGCATGCCTCACCTGCAGCATTCACTGAATGTAAAGCGCAAGGGATGCATCTGCTAGGGCATGTGGTGAGTGAGAACCAGCATCATTGCTATTTCTCCTGTGCGGGTTAGTTTGACTTACAAAAGGTACAAGAAGGCAACAGCAGAAGGCTCCCAAAGAGCACCTCTGGCCCAGGAGGGCAGAAAGCTGCCCAAGAGCCGCAGAGCCATCTCAGCTCTTTTGGCTTTACCAAGGACTGTCACTTGCTGCCCCAGTGGAAATACAAAAAACACCTGCAGGTGCCATTTTCAGCCTTTGATTCTTTCATTCGAACAGATCCTAAGCCTTCAAACACTTTCTATTTATTTTCCTAATGGCAGTTGTTTGGAAGTCCATGCCTTGTTGTTTACAGTGAAGGAAACATGTGATCTCTTCCCCTTCCTTGCTCACTTTACCTTTTCTATCTGTTTAATGGCTTTAAAAGAAAAAGCTTTTATCACTTTGTTTATAAGACTTCCAATGTCTTGCACCATTCCACTAAATAGGTATGCACTAGTGATGTTGAATTGCCCATCACAGCTCTGTAGTGGGTGTTAATGTGGTAAGAGCTTGTAGCTGTGACTATTTAAACCAACACAGAACAGCTGCAACACTGCAGGAAAACAGAAGAATCCTCTATTTGCTGGGAGTACGTTTGTTACATAAAGACATTTGGTGCATAGCAAGCTGAAACTCCTTGTTCATTAAATAGTCTCCCTTAAAAATATCTCTGATCATCCAGTAAGAAAGGTAAATTTAGTTATCATAATTGCTCACAGGGTCTTTACGCAGTGCCAACAATGGAATGGAGAGCTACCCAGTAAATGTGGGAAGAAAAAGGAGAGGCGAAAGAAGAGACTGTGACACATTCCAGAGGAACAAAGTCAAATCCATGGTAAAATTAATGTCCACAAAAACTTATTTAAAAATCACTTCTTAACTAAAAATGAATTTATGACTTCTCTTCCTCTGAAGTATTCACGCAACCATCTTTTGAATATTTGTAATTCATCCTGGCAGATATGTCTTCTTCCTGATCTTTAGAAGCATCCTTTTGTAAGAGAATAAATTTAGATAGATAGCCTTTGGAATGGGACTTGATTGCAGAAAAGTATTTGCAATAAGTTTTCCCTGGTGGGCTCAGTGCTCTAATTGGAGTGGTATGCAGCACCACGCGTTATCACTCCTCTTTTTTATTTCAAAGATTGCCAAATTGCCTCTCATTTAAGGAAGTAGCCTGTAGAAACTTGGCAGGAGAAGCCAAGCTTGCATGCAGGCAGGACTCGAACACTGGCTGCTCCTCTTGAGCATTCCAGGGGCCACGGGGCAGTCCTGCTCTGGCAGCTAACAGGTCAATATTTTCTTGCCTCTCTGTGAAGGAGCAGCTCCTGGCTCCACGTATATATTGCATATTCTTCTCTCAATCACAGAAACCTGCCCACAGACTTTTACCACATTAGGTCTTCCGATAGTTGCTTAGTGTCTTCTTTTATTGGGCAGGGGGAAGGTATGTGCTGTTCTAGCAAAACCCAGTGTAATGTGCCTTCTGCTGATATCTTCCGTTAGCATTAGGAGAGATTTTTGTGTAGAGAGAAATAAATGAAGGGGTTCCTCAGACCCTCTCTGCCCTTTTCTGAGTGTGCTCATTGCACCTGGGTAAAAAAGTTCATCACAAGCTAAACGGGGATTTTTGTAGGAGCCTCTAGTTAGAGGTTAGTTATTGCCCGTGTATCACTCTGCCTTTTGGTCACCAAATACTCTTTGCATATAACTGGGAGCGGGGGGGGGGAGGTATTAATGCTTGCGTCCTGGCCAAATGCCAACTTTGATAATTACTTTCTCTCTACAGTCCTTAAAATCTGCTTGCATTTTCATCAGGATACAACATTATTCATTACTTCAAGTCCCCTACGGTGTTGCCTTGCAGTATACTATTAAATAGTGGCCCGATTTTAACCAGAGGTGATGATGTTTGATAGGTAAATGGAGATGTTCAGGTGGCAGGTTCATGGGAACTTTCCTAATCAACACTGAAAAGAGGGTACCTGAGGGCAAGTCCTAGTGCCCTGCGCTTTCCCATGCAGGATTGCACCTCACTCCTGTGCATTTTCCAGACCCTTGACTAGCTGCAGTCCTCCCATCATTCACATCTTGGATGGAGAGAAGCTCCTTTCACTGCCCAAATCACCACCACCCTATCCTTTTCTCCAGCAACTTAAGAAGTGCTGAGATAAAGATTACCCACTGGGTTGCTCACCCTGTACCAAAAAAGTACCAAGCAGACATTTGGGGTCAATCTGGCCCAAGCCCTGTTAGGCTACCTTAGGCCATGGGAGAAAGGGGCAAAGTAGCAGTGATGGCTCAGTGGGGAACCCGGGTGTCAAACCAAAGCGGAGTGCTGCCGCCGAGAGATGGAGCATTGAAGAGTGTGGAAAGGAGAAGAGGTGACTTTGGAGGAAAAATGTTCCCTGGGGATCATCAGCAGAGACAACAGCTTGTGTATATTCGCTCTGAGTTAGCACCTCACTGTGCTCCCTAGTCCCACTTCCAGCAGCACTGTTAGAAACAAAAGTTGTTGTATAAAAGCCTAGGATTCTTTTATTTTTATTACTGCCCTTCTTCTCAAGCATTTTAAGTACAGCAGAAGTTTATCCATAAAAATTAAAAATAATTTCTACAAATATTATACTCAATATAGTATATCTGTGCAATGAAATTTAGTAGCACTGTGCAGCATGTCAGTTATTAAGTACTAGTTGTTCTGTTACTTACGAGTGTATTTTATTCCACTGTAACTTCTGTATGAGATAAACAATATAAAATAGATAGTTATACCAGAACTTCCTCATAAACTATCATGTCTGATATTCATTTGAATGACGAGTTAGACTCCGAGCCCTGTTCAGGAATCAGAGGCTTTAAGCCCTCCCTCTATCTTTCTGCCTAAACACCTTGGTCCGTGAGAACAGCTCACACACTGCACAGTGGACAGGTATTCATCCCGTCAAGTGTCCAAGTATTCATTCCAACCACTTGTCATTCCCATGCAGATGTCTGGATTAAGCAGCCAAGAGACAACTTCATATACATTTCTAACTTTTGTTTTTAAATGTATATTTGTTTTTTATAGCCCTTGATCCCTCCAAAGATCCATGCCTGAAGGTGAAGTGCAGCCCACATAAGGTGTGCGTCACTCATGACTATGAAACTGCCATTTGTATAAGCCGCAAGCAGCTGGTACACAGGTAAGGGAACTTCGTGTGGTTTGAGGCTTTTTCATGGACTCCAGTACGAGCAGAACAACCAGAATGAGAAAACTCCAAAGTGAACATTAAAAAAGTGGTTTTAAAGCATTCTTTTAAAGTTCGATTTGCAATTTTCCAGAAATCAAACAAGTCTTGTTTGTAACAGCCTCTTCTAGGAAAATGACCTGGAACATGATGCACCCTCCAGTTTGGAAAGCAGAAGACCCTCCCAACCCTGGGAAAGGTTTTCTTCTCTCAGAGAGCAGAAACTGGGCATATTTAAAAGTCTGAAATCTTGGTATATGAAAGCATTGTGTTGGACACAGCAACAGCTCCAATAACTTAATTTGAAGCAATTAAAAAAAGATCAAAACAGATGTTTTTATATATATCAAGCCTCTTCTTAAATTTGGTAAAAAAGAGAGAAAGGGTGGTGGAACTTTGAAGAGTATCTCCCTAGGGAGACACACAATTGCAGGAAGCTCCACATCCGATTATTGACTGACTGAATTAAGAAATTAAATAATTAGAATGTTAAGAACTTTGGCCAAAATGTTTAAATTAGACCAGAGATTTTCTCTGAGAGAAAATATGAACAAACAAAGAAAAGCTGACTGAGCACTCTCAGCTTAAAACTTTATTCCTCGCACAGCATCGGTTGAAATATGCTGCAGTGAGGGACTGTTGAATGATTGAATGCTAAACATTCACTTTAAGCACTTTAGTACAACATTTAATAATATTTAAAGTATTATATGTTATGTCTTTCTGTTGAAGTTTACTCAAAGGCATTTGTAGAAAACTAAGAGTTTACTGATCAGTGTGTCTGTAGTTTAAGAAAAATGTTTCGTGTTGCTTTCAATACATTTGCGTAATTTTGGGGACTGATCTCCACTTTCTTTTCCTATTTAGTAGGGAGGCAAAAAATTTCCTGTAGCAACTCTGGTCCCTAAATGCCGTTGCCAGCTGAGGCTGTAGTTTCACAGCAGTGTAAGCCAGATTAAATCAAGGATGATTGGATTCCCTTGTGCCAGTACTAGGTCTTGTCTTACCTCACTGAGACCTGGCTGAGGAAGCTAACCCAGTAAAAAAAATGATTGTCTTTGATTTATAATCCAAAGTTAATTCTGTAATGTCGGTGAGGCAGTATGTTCGATCTTCGATTTTCAGCATGGAATGAACCCTGCAAGGATTTTAGGAGTATGGCTATGTGCAGAACTTACAATGTAATGACATTTTTGGCATTTTGTAGCTACATTTTCCAGTTAGGATGAATTTAAAACATTTGCATTATATAATAGTCCTTATGATATATAGATATAAATGTTGAGCCACACGCTTTCTGAGCTATTTCCAGTATTTGATGTCCCAGAAGTGGTCAAAATGGTAAGAGTAATGGCAGAGAGCAGGAGCTGGATATCGCTTTTTTCCAGAAACCGAGTTGTATTTCATGTGATCTCTCTGTGATTCCTCCACTGCCTGCAGCTATTTCCGATAACCTTTGAGTAGCACTGTGGCTGTGGGATGAATAGAAAAGTATTGAAACCTTACTTTGAAAATTCTCCAAACATTTTCCAGCAAGTTTTGCAGTGCTGCAAGAATTACCGTTGATGTGGGATGGTGGCACGTATGTCCCCAAAGTGTTTTTATTCTCAAAATATCCAGCTACCTAATTGCCTCAAAGGGTAGACACGCCAGTAAGAAAAGCAGCCAAGCCAAATCCTCTGCTCATTTGAATCAGTGAAGTGACACTGCTAAAGAATTTCATCTTTAGTCCCAAAACATGGTGTTATCTTTTCTGTGCCTGACCTGAATACTGTTGTATGTGTGACTCCAGTCTCATTTAAGGCTGCATGAATTAGGAATAAATGCGTTAGGAGAGGTGGAGTTGCGCCTTTTTAAAACCGGTGAAAACCTGAATACATTAGTGCCTGCGTGTGTGTAGGAAGAAGCATCAAATAACACAGCACCATAGTGCTTGTTTTGTGCATCCTCTGTGCTTTTGGGTGTGCTCGGAAGGATTTTCCATTTCATGAATCATTATCAGCTTGCTGTGGTGGCTTTACAAAGCATGTAGGCTCAGCAGAAAGTAATCAGGAGAGCAACGTCTTATGTTATTGCTGAGGCTTCCAGACAGAGCTACGCCGATTTGCACCCCCTGATTATCTGGCCTGCTGAATAGTTGCAGCACAAGGAAAATGTATTTATTACAGGCGTAATGTAGCTAACTTTGAAACCACCAGTG